GAGCCCCTCCTTTGTCCTCTGCACTTGGCCTGCAGTCGCGAACGATGTGATGTAAGCTCGTTACCATCAATTTATGTCCGTGGCAGTTTTTTGGAGCATCGTCGCCTCCGTCGGATGAACTGTTGACCAGCATAACGCGGCGCGCAGCTCAGTTTATTGGTTGATGCATCTGTAACAACGTGATGATTTTGTAAATTCGCTCTGCGTGGCTGAAAACACGGTAATGTTTTTAATTTGCCTTGCAATATGTTGCAATGGGTGATCTGGCAGTCAGCTTTGTGCTTATTGTCCACAAACTTTTTTGCGGACTAAATTATTTAATCATACTTCTTCATTTTCACTTTGAGACCTCCTTTGCCAGTAGCAAGATACAGTAATAGGTTTTTACCCTTTTAACTGGCACAAAAACTGACACCTTTATACAAGGGATCATGTTTGCAATAACCACAATACAAGCAGTCAAAATGCAAACAAAAAGAGACAACTCTGATAATAATATGCACTGTCCTTGAATTTGATTGGTCCACACCCGAGACAGCTTTTCTTAGAGCCTAGTCTCCACTGGTGTTGGACCAAAAGACGCCAAAAGGCGTACAACTCAAAAACAGCGCACCATCAGAGGTAAAAACCTATTACTATATCTTGTTACTGGCAAAGGAAGTCTCATAGTGTAAATGCTTATCCCGAGCTCTCAATACTCTGATAGTGCGCTGTTTTTGAGTTGTACGCCTTATGGTGTCATCTGGTCCAACACCAGTGGAGACTAGGCTCTAAGAAAAGCTGTCTCGGGTGTGGACCAAGCAATTTCAAGGACAGTGCATATTATTATCAGAGTTGTCTCTTTTGTTTGCATTTTGACTGCTTGTGTTGTGGTTATTGCAAACATGATCCCTTGTATAAAGGTGTCAGTTTTTGTGCCAGATAAAAAGGTAAAAACCAATTACAATACTTCATTTTGTTGGACTTTCGAGTGTAGTAATTGATATTGTTATTATCACCTTTCTATTTCACTTGCATTGTATCTATAATAGTGAGTGTAGTATTATGTTTATGCATAGCGCTCTGAGATACTTCAATACATAATGCGTCTTCATAAAATAGAGGTTGCTATTATTATGTATGGACGTGTGTTGAACTTATTTTGCCCCGTATGTAGCCAGCCGTGCTCATCGGGAGGTGCGGGGGAAGGACAACAAACTAAAAACAAAAATCAGTTTAAAAATAAATTCGTTATAAATCTACACTCATGATCTCACGTGTCCCGCCAGCGACACACTCGTCTTAGTATGGTGGCCACTCGTGGATCACACTTAAAATGCCCGGTACAATGATTGTGTTTGCTTTATTAAATTACATTTTGTTCCTTCATTCTCGTTCGTAAAAGAAGATCGAGCAACACCCCAGTTTACGTCTCCCCCTTAATGTCGTTTCGCAAATACATCGTTAATTTATCAACACCGTTGCTACCCGATTTGTGTCGACTCAGCCCACGCTTACGTCACTGACAGCATCGTCCAACCTTTTTCGTTATCCATCGCTTCTTAGCCTTCGCTTCTACCTACCGTGCACACAAAGTACTTTGCGCCTCGCGTAAATAAATGCACTTTGGGGTACAATATATTATTTACGTACGCACGGCACGCGAGGGGGTGGGTGGCCAGCACAACGTACGGCCGCCTTTGTCTCCCCAGTGGTGATGTTTACACACTGCACCAGGTGCTCTTTTGAGGCTGAGTCGACCTAGGGAAGGCCCACCGGTTCAGATAATCGTCACCGGTGTTGGCCGTGAACAGGAATCGAACTCGGGTCGCCGGCTTCGTAGAGCAGCACGCTAACTGCTACACTTCCCGCCCTAACACACACGCACACTTAGACGCACTCAGCGTCAAATGCACTCGCGCACACAAATTGGCACTGGTGGATAACGTGCGCGCGCCGAAAGCACCTTGCCATCGTGTTTGTTCACACCGCCGTGAGACGGACACGCGCGCACACGTGCCACGCCACGAGGACACAACCACGCCAGAGCAAGAATGTGAGGCACGCTAGAGGCACGCTCACACCCCAGCGAAGATACGTAAGCGGGGGCTGCCCGTGCAGGACGCACGTCGCCACGGGAGGCGGGCACCGGTGGTGCAAGAATAATGACGGGAGCGTCTGAGCACAGGCCTGCCACAGGAGATGGAGCGATGAAATTAGCTCGTGTTTTGCGGGTGCTGAAGGTGGATTGTTAACATCGTAGATTCGTGATAGAGAGACAGTGATGGATTTTGGGAGGCCTTCGTCCAGCCATATAGATTGATCATCACTGCTGCACATTGACTCAGCCCATCACTCTAGTGGGGTCTATCAATGAATACCATTTTGTTGTAAGTCATGGATATTAAATAATGGGGATGTTACGGTGGCGAAATGTTAACTTCCTCGCATGGTATGCAGGACGTCGTGGGTTCGATCCCGACCCTGACGCCTGCTGTATATTTGGAGTTTGCATGTTCTCCCCGTGGTTGCGTGGATTTTTCTCCAGGTCCCTCCGCATTCATAACTATGCGTTTAAAGTATTTAGCTGCTATAAATGTATGCATGACAAGCCACTTCGTTGAGCTATCAATTGTGGCCAGGTCACTTCTGAAAGAGCGCTACACAGTTGATTGGGCCTTACCTGGTAAAATAAAAAATAGTTTAGTTGGGTTTAATTACGTGGATAGACTCCATCATGGGAATGTGGAATTGGCAGCGTTTGCACAGGGCCACTAAGATACATTAATGCCGTGTGGCGGAAACGAGGTTTGGTGGATCGCACAAACGTTTGTGGATCGCACCGAATCTGCCTTGTGCGCGTCGAGGAGATGCCATACACTGGTTTGCCAGGAGAAGGCGGTACAGCAAATGGGAATTCCACCTGTTATTTCCTCACACATGTTAACACTCTTTGTTCGATTAACACCTTAATATATAGAGGACCGCAGAGCTTGATGGGGGGGGGGGCGGAATTTTGGCTGCGGATCAGCAGCTCGCTGCTGCCTTCACATTCGTCTGCAGTTCCTCGTGCCTCTGGCTCTGAGTCATTCTCTATCATGAAGAGCGAGAACATACGCTGTGGTGCATTCCAAGTAGAAATCATTGTGAAATGATGATTATTATAATGATATACCATTGTGCCTGATTCACATGTTGACATATGCCCCGTTGATCCCATTATTATCAAAAACATTACAAAGTCTCCATCAACAGCGCTGGGTTAAATTGCCAAGGTGATGTTTCGTAGCCATTGCCACGTGATGTCGATGTGGTCCTTTGACTCTTTCCACAAGCATCAAGGAATTTGACAAAGATCAGCACCCTTGTGAAAAGCAGTTGTTTTCATCTGTTGCCTGGACTGCACTGTGAGTCGTTAGCGTGGCTGCTCACCTGGATTAAAGAAAAAATATCTTTCCGCTGAAAATGGAACGTTTTACTTTTATCTCGAGAGATAATGGAGGTGTTTTGAGTGACGGAGCAGCAGGAGGGTGATGTTTTAAGTTGAAATCTTGGTGACGGTTAATTTAGCCGATCAAACGCGAAGGCCATTATATACCTACGCACTTGGAGGGCAATGAACGCTGGAAATCAGCACAGGCAACACCTTCCCTATGAGCAACCCTGGCAACTTGTACAGCTCTGGCAACTTGTACAGCACTGGTATTAATTGGTGGGGTTCAGTCAAGCCAGTTAAGAGTTTTTATGAAAATAAATCACAGTTGCGGAAGACAGTCAACAAGGCCTAACTACGTACAACAATATGATTCCAGCAATTTTTACATTCAAAGTATTATTTTACGTGTTTTCAAATGCCTGCATGTGTATCCCCCTGCAACGCCTCAAGTTTTCTCCAGGCATTTCAGTTTCTTCCCTCGTGCAAACACGCTGAAGAATCCCTTGGCTGGCCAAAGGGACCTCCCCATTAGATCGCAAAAGGCTGATACTGCACGACGCTGCACAATGCAACACAGCTAGCATTTGGTTTTATTATCGATGTTGCCATCCAAACATGTCCGCGTTTTATAGCAGGCACTGTGCTTAACCTCGGGACGTTTTTAACCCTCATAGACCCAATGCGCTGGGATGTAGGTCTGCTGAACGGAGGGGCCTCCCAGTTACGTGACTTGAGTTCAAACCCAATCGAGGTTGGGTCCACTCATCATGTATGCATGTATCTTGAACTTCTTTCGGGACCGTACATAGCCAACCACGGCTCTCAGAGGTATGGGGATGCTGATCGTCGTCGGCAACCCATGGGCGTTTGAAAAGATCAGCCGTCAAGTGACACCAGTGGTTGTCCAACGCGAAGGCTGGTTCCTGCCACGGGAGTGTGCAATGTCCACAGAGGCCTAATAGATTCATGGTGATTCCCTGAGTTAAATTCTTGGTAATGCACACAACAACATCAGTGGGACGGTATCGGAAACCTATTCTGGATCGACTCGGCCTCAATGGAGTAGCTGGTGCAGAGTGTAAGCATACGTAACTACCTGGCACCCTTCGTGGGCTCTCTACAGCACTCAGGCCTAAGTCCTGTAGAGGATGTAAAATAGTGGTTGTTTTGCTTTGTTTGTGTGTGTGCGTGCGTGCATGTGTGGGGAGCGGTAGTGTAGCAGTTAGCGCGCTGCGCTACGAACCTGGCGACCAGAGTTCGATTTCTGCTCACGGCCAACCAACAGTGACGATTACACTGTGTAACAATTTTTTTTAATATATTTTTTTGTTCCTGGGTGTAGTAAGTGTTATTTAATTATCTGAACCTGTCCTGGGCCTCCCCGAGGTCGACTCAGCCTCAAATGGGTACCTGGTGCGATGCCTCGAAATATCGCCACTGGGGAGACAAAGGTGGGGTCGGGCGTGGTGCTGGCCACCCACCCCCTTTGTGCACCGTGCCGGCCTTCATAGGTGCTCGCTAACAGCAGTTGCCCCTACAGTCTGTTCAGGCCTGACGGGGGACCGCTGTCTTTTTTTGTTCACAGGGAAATAGGCCCGAGGACCAAGGTGTGGTCTGAGAAGGAGTTTGTGGAGCAGGCTGCTTCGGAATTTTCTGAGGTACGTGCCAATTAATCAGCATTGGCCCCCGGTCACCAATGCTCACAGTGCCATGTCTCTGAGCAAAACCTTAACCTTGGGGGCCGTGCCATGCACCTCAGTTTCTGCAACTGATGATAGCATTGATGCCATATAATCGCAGCTGTTGATAGGAAATTAAAGAGTTTAGAGTTGCTTTGTTGAACAAGGCGAGCCCCCGAGAGAGCAGTGGTAGAGTCTCGCTTGCAAGGGTGACCTGGGTCACCGACATGATGAGCTAACAAAAAGCACAGCAATGAAGCGAAAAAGAAACGGGGACAAAGCATTTGGTCAGATGACGAGTGGAAAATACATTACACAAACAGACATCAATGTTAAATAACGCATTTCCTGTCGCACAAGTCAGCCTCGGACAGATTGTCTTTTAGACTGGGGTTCGTAGTACAAATACAAATTAAGTAACAGAAAAATTAAACGGATATAGGGAGGTAGTAGGTTGCTGTGTGCATTTCGGAAGTGACTGTGAGAATGAAGTTAGCTCACTCTGTTACCAGGCGTGTTCTTTAATAGATTGTACAAACTACGTTGAAGGAATAGTTAAGTCACCGTGAGTAAAAAAAAAGACATGGATTCTAGAAGCATAGATGATGTGAGCATTCCTCTGTCGGTCAGAGTTATACTTTTTTTATTTTCTTGTAATAATCTTCTCACCTTTTTAATCCGATTGAATGTCGAAGATGCTTGATGGTTCATCTCGATTTCTTTGAGGCAACTTTTAAATGCCGACCGGTGTGTTGAAGAGTGAATCCACAACATTTACTATTTTTGAGTACGACGTTTTGCTGGTCATTACATACAGCATCATCGGGCAAATTGGGCTAAAGTAGGGAACTATTTTGTCTTTTGTCAACGTGACACTTTTTTACTGATGGCCGTGTCGGGTGGTGGAGGGTTACGACACATTTATAAATAACGCGATCTAACCCAAAAACTTTATTATGAATATTATTGGTCGCAAAAGCCTACGTGTTAAACTGATCTGTCGATTGCAAGGATGTATAATTAGATTGTTTTGGGTGTAATTTTTTATATTTACGTAATCCTGAGCTTTCCTCAATGTCATTTCCTGAGTGTAATTCCTTAATGGAATTAAGGAAATCCCATTTTCACGAACCACTAAATAGATTCACCTAATTAGACTTATTTCACCTGCCAATCACAACCAATCAACTCGAGTTATTAAACTGAATCACGTGCACGATTGTGCTGATGACGTCACAGCACCTGCTGAAGGACCTGGGTCAGGAAGCCCATTGACGCGATGAGAACTGAGCTGCTGTTCACGCCTGATGATGCTGGATGAAATCTCCCAACCAAACATTGGATACAATTGTCAAAATGTTGCTTGCTTTTTTCAACATTTTTCTGATTTGCTGAAAAAAACTAATCAATTGCCACATTTGCCCATCACGTGACAACTTGATTTAATTGGCTCTGTCCGGTGGTGGAGCTTTACAGATTAAAAAATAAATGACATATATATTATGCAACACAAAATAAACTAATTATGAATCATGATATTGGTCGCAAGAGCCTGCATATAAAATGTAGATTACTAGTTGCAGAAAATGAAAACGTATATGGTGTGAGTGAGTCCCACAATTTAACGCCATAGTCATGTCAGTGTGCCTCCTTGCTCTCGTGACAGTTTTGCTACATCGGCTACATCGGCAGTGGTGAACCTCCTGACTTCGACAGTGCAGTGTCACTTCGCAACACGTTGATACAGGGTTCATCGGAGCAGAGTACATTGTCGCATGTTTTAACCGTCACTTTTCCGGGCCTGACCAATTAACTGCCTACACCAAGCGTAGTATTTGTGCCTGTCCACGAATGCGACCTTGTCACACACGCGGTAACATGTTCTTGTTGTCACGTACAATCGCTTTTTTTTTTCTAAAGCACAGTCGCGCATCGTCCCATGTTCAAAGCTGTTCACATATCTGACCTTTAGCCGGGCGGTGGTGGCGCTCGCCTGCAATCCAGCGCTGTGGAGGCGAGGGTTGGTGGACCACACAGATGTCATGAAACTCGCTTCCCATGGGCGCTGAGCAACCATACCCCCTCCCCTGCCTTGTCAAGAAACTCAACTCTGTATTCGATGGAGTGTTTCCCCCTCGCATTCGTCGGTTTTCAATGGCAGTTTCGGTTTCCTCCCACATTGAAACACTCATTAGTCTACCGTTAACGCCTTCACACAAATAGGACCACAGAGCTCGGGCAATTATTAGTGCCGGATCACCAGCTGGCTGCTGCTGCTACCTTGCCGCTTGTCCATGGCTCCTCGTCGCACCTCTGCGTCATTCCCCCTCTGGCGAGAAGCGAGCCAGCAAGTGAATGCTGTGCGTGCGGCAGCGCGTTTCACGAGCAGAAGTGTGTCGCTCGCGTATATTCGCTGAACGCCTCTGGCTAAACCCTGCGAGTCGGATACACGCGGCGCCGTCCCGCAAACGCGAACCTCGGCAAAAAATGCGACGACCGCTGCCACGGGGGCCGCACATGCGGCCGACGGCCCGCTGGTGACGGGCCGCCGCCGGCTCTCACGGAGGGCCGCCCCCCCGTCTGCGCCGTCAGACGGAGACGATGCTGACGACGGCGGAGGAGCTGGTGGGGCCGTACGTGTGGGGCCGCTACGACCTGCTCGTGCTGCCGCCCTCCTTCCCGTACGGCGGCATGGAGAACCCGTGCCTCACCTTCGTCACGCCCACCCTGCTGGTGAGCCCCCCCCCCCGGAGCACGCGGCTTGCGCGCTCACGATCGTAGGAATAATAATAATAGCAATAGAGTACATTTAATATTGGTGTCATGCATATTGCGGCAAGGATATCATCATGAGGGAAGGCGCTGTGTTTGACGTGCACAGTCTGCGGTAGATTTGCAGTCGCAGGCAGCGTTGCTCTGCGCGATCCCAGTTTGCGGTGGAATTTTTTCCAAATTTTGAAAAAATCCGGACCGTAACGCCCGGCACACGATGGCCTACTCTCTTCCAACGACGTCACGGAATCCTTTTTGAACGTCCACTGTGAAGAAGACTGGGTGGGTTTTACGCATCTGCAGCAACGACCAGGGTGGCCTGCCGGGGTTCGAGCTGTGAACGTCTGCAATGAGCAGTGAGAGCGCTACCCATGATCCAGGTCATCGTCCTGCGTGTCACTGACCTTGCCTTACCCTCTCCCGCTGTTGGGAGGGAATTCCAAAGTCGCACTGGGTCAACATTTCCCAAGCTCTTACTGCTTTGCTCATTTCATTTGTACATTAGAGTAGATTTCACTTATTTCAGCAGAAAGGGCCCAGTTAGCTGTTTGGCTGTATATGATGGGCGTCCTGCGACGGTATGTACGTACGTTGAACTTCTTTCGCACCGTACACATAGTCAACTTGGATAATGGTAGGGGTGGAGCAGGGACAACAAACTAAACACCAAAAGCAGGTACAGATGTTATAAGCACAGATCTTAGTTACAAGCGTGGTTACATAGGTCGTGATGAAAGCAATAGGTATCAGTATGTGTTGCACATGCTACCAGTTGGAAACTAAAAAAACATTAACAGGACTACAGTAATAGCCCGGTTTACGTCAGGGATGCTTTCCTGAAAGGCGCGATGACGAATATGGAAACGACGTGAATCAGAGCGATCACCAAAACACCGTACGTAAATAATGTTTTGTGCTCTACAGTACATTTCTCTACGCGAGGCGCAAGATAGTTTGCGTACAAGGTAGGCGGAGGCGAAGGCTGAGAAGCGATGGGTAACAAGAATGGACGGACGATGCTGTCGGCGACGTAAGCGTGGGCTGAGTCGACACAAATCGGGTAGCAACGGTGTTAATAAATTAACGATGTATTTGCGAAACGACATTAAGGGGAAGACGTAAACTGGGGTGTCGCTCGATCTTCTTTTACGAACGAGAGTGAAGGAACAAAATGTAATTTAATAAAGCAAACACAATCATTATACCGGGAATTTTAAGTGTGATCCACGAGTGGCCACCATACTAAAACACGAGTGTGTCACTGGCGGGACACGTGACATCATGAGTGTAGATTTAAAACGAATTTACTTTAGAACTGATTTTTGTTTTTAATTTGTCCGTCCCCCGCACCTCCAATTAGCACGGTTGGCTACGTACGGTGTGAAAGAAGTTCAACATACATACATACATTACCTGTTATTACGATGGTGCTGAGGATTTAATGACGACGATGATGATGCTGATTAATACATGCAAGGCTAATGTTTCATATATCTAATTTAAAATAGCTTCTGCACTGTGCATATAACGATACAATATTTCATAAGATAATAAGTGCTGATGTGCTCTTAGTGACATTATTCCACATGTCATTATCAGCCAATAATTCACATTGTTTTCAAATTAACGCTTCCAATAAATATTGCTTTTTTCGTTCTTTCTTTCAGGCTGGAGATAAGTCGTTGGCTGGAGTAAGTACATAAACCTCTTTCAGTCACTCCTTTATGACAACATGCTGCATCTTCGATACACTTACTTGTTCCTTGTCTGTTCACAATAATAATAAAAGGGCTCTTGTTTGTAGTTAGTGGCCCTATACAACGTATCAGGCCTTGGGCACCCCCTCATGTGCCGTGCCGACCTTCACAGCCACGATGGTGAGCTGTTAACTACCACACCTGGTGTACAGGAGGTCGTCGATTCGATCCCGACCCTGACGCCTGTATATTTGGAGATTGCATGTTCTCTCTAGATGTAGTCTAATGTATTTTTCTCCGCGTCCTCCGGTTTTTCCCTCCACATTTAGAAACGTGCGTTTAAGAGTATTAGGTTGCTATACATTTCTACATGATAAGCCACTTCTTTGTGTTATAAATTTTGGCCAGGTCACTTCTGAAAAAGAGCTACTGTATTTAGCTCAGTGGGCCTTACCTGGTAAAAAGATGCTTGCTAACATCACTTGCCCGAACAGAATGTCAAGGCTATATGGGCGATCTTTGTCTTTGTTTGTTTTGGTCAGGTGGTTGCCCATGAGATCTCTCACAGCTGGACTGGCAATCTGGTGACCAACAAAACTTGGGAGCATTTCTGGTACGTGTGTGTTTTTCCACACGTGTCTTCTCGTGTGTCGTAGTAGGGGAGCGGTCGTGTAATGGTCAGCGCACTGTGCTACGAACCCGACAACCCGAGTTCGATTTCTCACTCACGACCAATAACCGGTAGTATATAATTGAACCGGTTCTGGACCTCCCCTAGGTTATCCAGTGTGGCTTGATCACCCATCCCCTCGTGTGCAATGCAGGCCTTTGTAGGTTCTCACAGTCTGTTATAGGCTACATGGGTGATCTTTGTGCAGTATTGGTAGTCGGAGCGAGTAGTCGCATTATGCTTATTGTGCTGCATTACAATCATCACGACCTGGTTTTGTTTCCTGACCATACAAAACTTCCCAGGTCGACCCCACGCGGCACGAGCATCAGGCACGGTGTGTGAACATCCCCTCCGTCTGCTGTGCCGTCCTTAATCGGCGCTCACTAACATCACTTCACGAGCATCACCCGAATGTATCACCTTGCGAATAGCGAGGCAATACTGTGTGTAAAGCTAATTGGGGGGTTATTGTGTCTGTCCAAGTTTGAGTGTCTGCGTGTTTTTAATTTGGGGAATGATCCTCCCCCCCCCCCTTCAGCCTTGTAGGCTGGAGGAGGAGCTGGGGGGTTAATTATGTTAAGGAGGACCTATTAATGCTCCGACAGCATTTGAGACACGATGGTGAGACCCAGTGCCAAGGACAGCCAGTCCACAGTTGACGCACCACACCAGGTGCGACGTTCAGGCTGAGTCAACCTGGGGGGGGGGGGGAGTCTGGGGACAGATTCAGATTACAAATGCCACAGTAGGTGGTAGGAAGCCAAAAATGTAGTTTTACAACCCACACCATTATCCCATTATCCCATTGTTCCAGGTTCAGTTACTGGTCATGAGCAGTGGCATTAGCAGTTGATTTATTGTAGCGTTGATGTTTGCTTCACGCCCGTATATATTAGAACTCCACTTATCTGGAATCCCCTTACTTGTAGATACTTGGAATTCCTGATTTCTGAGGGTTACTCATTATTATCTGCGAATTCTCTTATCCACAACCCCATGCGGTCACGTGTGTAGTGTCTTAAAAAATGACTCGCACGGACACGTCGTAACAAGTCACATGCTTACACTTTATTCACCTATTCTTGCACCAGTTGTAGGCACTCCTATAACTATCTATACGGTCACTTATGTTTAATTTCTCCCCACTCTTATCTACCTTTCACCTCGCTTATCCTGCACTCAGCAGCTCTGCTATCAGCGACTCCGCACGCAGCGTCCCCACACGCAGCGTCCCCACACGCAGCGTCTCCGCACACAGCGTCTCCGCACACAGCGTCTCTCACACAGCGTCTCCGCACACAGCGTCTCCGTACACAGCGTCTTCACACACAGCGTCTTTGCACACAGCGTCTCGACACACAGCGTCTCTCACACAGCGTCTCTCACACAGCGTCTTCACACACAGCGTCTTTGCACACAGCGTCTCTCACACAGCGTCTCCGCACTTAGCGTCTCTGCACACAGCATCCCCACACACAGCGTCTCCGCACTCTGCGTCTCAGCACACAGCGTCTCCGCACACAGCGTCTCCGCACACAGCGTCTCCGTACACAGCTTCTCCGCAAACAGCGTCTCCGCACACAGCGACTCCACACACAACGTCTCCGCACTCTGTGTCTCCGCACACAGCGTCTCCGCACACAGCGACTCCTCCCCGCACACAGCATCTCCACACGCAGTGTCTCCACATGCGGCGACTCCGCACACAGCAACTCCTCCCCGCACACAGCGTCTCTCACGCAGCGTCTCTCACACAGCGACTCCGCACACAGCGTCTCCGCACACAACGTCTCCGCACGCAGCGACTCCGTACACAGCAACTCCTCCCCGCACACAGCGTCTCCGCACACAGCGACTCCGCACACAGCGTCTCCACAAACAGCATCTCTCACACAGCATCTCCGCACACAGCGTCTCTGCACGCAGCGACTCCGCACACAGCGTCTCTCACACAGCGTCTCTGCACACAGCGTCTCCGCACACAGCGACTCCGCACACAGCGTCTCCACACAGCGTCTCCGCATACAGCGACTCCGCACACAGTGACTCCGCACACAGCGTCTCCCACACAGCGTCTCTCACACAGCGTCTCCGCACACAGCGTCTCCGCACGCAGCGACTCCGCACGCAGCGACTCCACACAGCGTCTCCGCATACAGCGACTCCACACACAGCGACTCCGCACACAGCGTCTCCACACAGCGTCTCCGCATACAGCGGCTCCGCACACAGTGACTCCGCACACAGCGTCTCCGCACACAGCGTCTCCGCACACAGCGTCTCCGAACGCAGCGACTCCGCACGCAGCGACTCCGCACACAGCAACTCCACACAGCGTCTCCGCATACAGCGACTCCGCACACAGCGTCTCCGCACACAGCGTCTCCACACACAGCGTCTCTACACACAGCGTCTCCACACACAGCGTCTCTCACACAGCGTCTCCGCACACAGCGTCTCCGCACGCAGCGACTCCGCACACAGCATCTTTACATCTCCACGGTTGGCCTCACCTACGCTCCCTCAGACCCGCTCACCCGTCTGTCCCGGGCGGGGGGATCAGCCAACACCCGCCCGGCAAAGGCGTGAGGGTTGAGGTGCTGTTGACGGCTGGAGCGACATCGGCGAGATGTCTTCACTCTTCCTTCCCTGCAACAACTCCCTCTCCACTCACGCACACACCCTTATATCTCTTTGATAATTATCCGAGACCTCTCGTGCGTCTCTTTAAGCTCTCGCCAGGCTAGCGCCTGTTGGCCCATCAATCAACCCTTTATCTCCCGTCTCCCTGGCAACACCTCCGGTTTCAACGTGCACAACCGGTCGACCCCGTTTGTACCTGCTTCGCCCCTTAACAACTGGCGGTTTGTCTGTGCAAACCTCATGTTGCACACGCGCACCTGTTTGCCCTCAGTTGCGCTCAGTTAACTGCGCACCACGTATTTCACTCCTCTACACGTTTAATTGTGGAGGACTGGTTTTCACTGTCCTTAACATTACGAGCTTTAATATTTTTTTCCCCATCAGTTCATTCATAAGTGTGCATTGCAAGATGACGTAACTGCCACGTGTTCCATAAGTGAATATGGTAACTTAAATATATTAATGGAAATGAAGACATTTTATTTTATAAATGAATGTATCATCGCTTGACTTGCAGGATCACTTGATAGCCTAAATATTGGCAGTGTGACTAAAGGCAAACCAAGATTAGGATTTCTCTGCGTGATGTTTGCGGTCTTTGGAGTGGAGGACTGAAACGTGAAATTCGTATTTTGTACCAACGTGTTTACCCGTTGGGTGTGGCTGTTGATGCACAGGGGTCATGACGTGTAACACAGTAAACATTTTCGAGTGTTTTACGCAGAAGCTCCAGGAATAATGTACGTGACTCTGGAAAACAAATTTGAAAGTCATTGGGCAATTACAGATGTGTAGCGACGTGACAGGAAGCCTTCACCCGGGCTCGTAAAGCCCACTGAGCAGAAGCGACTGGGTCACAAATGATAGCTCAACGAAGTGGCTTATTGCGTGGAAATTTATAGCAGGCAAATACTGTAAATGCATGTTTCTAAATGTGGTGGGAAAAACTGGAGGACCTGGAGAAAAATTCACCAGGCCACAGGGAGAGAGAGAGACATGCAAACTCCAAATACACAGGCAATCAGGTTCGTGATCAAACCCACGACGTCCTATATACCAGGCGAGGAAGTTAGCATTTCCACACCGTGGCGAACATTATTTCGGGACTGTGTGTCGTCTTTTTGTAGTTTGGGACTGTTGTTGTTGTTTTGCTGCCTTGTCCAAGCTTGCATTTATTGTAAAATAATCGACAGGAGTTGATATACTTTTGCAATTCGAACTTAGATGCTTCAGTTATTTTTATTTGTTTATTTTTCGTGACTTTCTAACCGTTCCTATACTTTGCATTATTGTTTTTTATTTTGTTATTGTAACTTTCTCACCCACCGCATACTGGACAAATGTGAGGGGAAAAAAATCTTCATAGATCATCGGATTCCCCCTCCTGCAGTCTAAACCATAAAGATTCTGATGTTTTTCGTTTGATCAAATGGTGTAAAACGCACCGCCACGTCACGTGAGAGCCCCGTGTCGTCGGTGTTACCCGAGCCATTGTTTACCAGCGAGTTCACTGGCACGACTCGTGACCCTCTGAGCCGCAGGAACATGGAGAGCCACTTTGTGGCTCAGAACTTAAAGCCTTTGAAACAGAAGGACGGCGTATTCACGATCGGGATGTGGATTGAAATACAACTTCCATTGAACCCACTTACTGGGGTTAATCCTGATGCATGGGGCATCTAAGGGACACGGTGCCATCGCGGGCACCGTGTCCCTTGTTTCACACCTGATGACGGTTGCTTGTGTTGTGATCGAAACGTCGTGATCTATTATTTTTTCTACCTATGTTACTTTACCGTAAGAACCAAAGAGTATAAACTAAAACTGTTTTTATTTTACCAGTTAAAGCCCACTGAGCTACAAAGCTCTTTTTCAAAAAGCAACCTGGGCCACAAATGATAGCTCAATTAAGTGGCTTATTACGGGGAAATTTAGAGCAGTCAAATACTCTAAAAACATTTTTCTAAATGTGGAAGTAGAAATCCACGCACCCACAGGGAGAGCATGCAAACTCCAAATATACAGCAGGTGTCAGGGTTGGGATCGAACCCACAACATCTCCTGTATACCAGGCGAGGTAGTTAACAACTTGCCACCGTGGCACGGGGTGTTTATATGATTCACTCAGCTGCATCGCTGTACAGTCTGCCTGAGACCAAATCTTTCTGAGCGCATCCGATCTCGTCATATCTCAGGCTTTAAGCATGGTTTGACCATGATTCGATTCATAACTAGTTTCTTTTGGGTTTGATTGCGTCAGTATAAATATATGTCTTAATGATAACCCTCCATCATTC